CATGACAGTTTGTACAATCGAGTAGCTTTGTTCGGCCACATCTGAGGCCAGTGAAGAGTCAGCCAAGCATACACTAGCCCAGGCAAAGATGTCAGATTTTCCTTCCTAAAGAACAATGCAAAACTCCAATTGGTTCACGAATGATCCAGCAGCTACATGGTCACTTCTGCTGATAGCAGCATCAAACACAAAAAGGTGCAGTGTGATCAATGTGAAAACACTGAGAAAAGCAATCATTTCCTTCAGCATTGGATCGGAATCTTGAAACTAACACCACTGGGGACACCTAAAACAAACACAAGTCAGTGATCCAGCGTATGACCATTTTCTGAGGGCAATGATGGATGCACAATAAATGCCAGCTTTGTCAGTGACACTTGCATCCAGTGGATTGATTTTTTCTTTTCTTTGAAAACTGACAGGGATAGCATGCTGCAGACGCATTGGGACTCTTCATCTTAATAAGGCATTCTGTTTAACACAGTCTGGATGGTACGTTTTAAACCACAGCAGAATTAAACCATGAGTCCTCGTTTCTACTTTTCACCAGGAAATGGTTGGGGGAGGGTTGCTACAGATTAGCAATTTGGCAGCAGTGACCCCACCCATATTTCTTGTCTCTCAGCCATGGGCCAAAAGGAGGGCAAAAAAGATTAATTTCAGCAACAGAAAACATTTTTTTGGAATAACCAGTTAGAATAAGACTGAACAAAGCAGAACAATGTGCTAACAATGTGAATAATTCAGGATTTAATGCCACAACCAACGCCGGATGTGCATCCTTCACTCAATATGGCTTTAAGAGTGGGAGGCATGTGGAATGCACTGCTGGCAGTGGGAGTGGAGTGAGATACTTTAGAGACTTTTAAGCGACTCTTGGATAGACACATGGAGGATAGTAAAATGTAGGGTATGCAGGATAGATTGATCTTAGTAGGATAATAGCTCGGCACAACATCGTGGGCCGAAAGGCCTGTACTGTGCTGTATTGTTCTATGTTCTATGTTAAGTGGTTCTGAAGAAGGGCTGCTGGACCCGAAACATTAACCCTGATTTCTCTCTACAAGTGCTGCCACACCTGCTGTGCTTTTCCAGCAGTTTCTGATTTCCAGTATTTGCAGTTCTTTGGGTTTTTTTTGGCTTGAGGGCAATCAGATGAAATTAGGTGCATCTAATAATTTTATTAGGTGCAGATGTTAGCTGTTTATTGGCTTTACATTCCTCAGAGTTGAATCCTGCTGAACATAGTTGGATATGTTCAATTATACAAATTTAAATATCTTCAGCTTTTTGGTGAAATCAGAAGGAAATATCAATTCCCTTGCAGTGTTTATGCCATTCAGAAATAGATTGAGCCTAAATTGACGCAATTTCCACTGCTCACCTTTCTTTGATTCAATGATCTGTGCTAGATCAAAATCCTGAGGACGCTCGGGTTCAAATTTGAGCACGGTCATGGCTTTCTTGAAAATTTCGGATACCCTATCTTGATTAGTCACCTAAATAAAACAATATTCACTTTTCATTCGTGCATTCGAGACACATGCAAACAAATGAAATATGTAAAACCTCAATTTCCAAAGGGTTTATAAACATAGCTGTTGTCACCGAGAAGACTAATCGGGACATTACACTGAAAGCTGTAAAAGTTACATGAATAAAATAATAACTGGTAGGACCGTTATTGTAAAACATGCCTTCGATGCTCCATAACCCATAGACTGTGAACAGTAAAGGCTGGAATTTGAATGGAAACAGATCCCAGTGCTCAAGTTTACCTACACACTCAGTTTGAAGTAAATAACTAGTTATGAAAGTAATAATTTAAATAAGCCACTTCCATCCCCTCCCACCCAAAACACCCTTACCATTTGCCTGCTTTTAACATTTATTGTCAATACAGAAAATGGCTTAATGTTGTTGATGAAATCTGAAATTTCTTAATGCTGTGCTTATTCGTATAAAATGATTCATAAAATTGCTTCAGCAGTTTGAGATATTTAGCAATTTGTGATTGCTAATATTTAATATTCAATCAATTGTGAATTGCACAGGAATAATATTAGATAGGCAGGATATTGAAAAGATCAATTTTTTGGGGAAATTGTCTGTTTTTGTTTAATTGTATGTTATATTTGGAGATCTCTCAGCTCAAGTTTGAGCAATGACCTGTAAGATGAAATGCACGAGCAGATTTGCTGTTTCTTCTGGAGAACTGCAATGTTTTCTGGTTGACTAGACTCATGCTTAATTCCACTTTAATTGCATTGTAGTTCATGGCTAAAAAAATTACATTTGCCAGCCACTCAAAAGCAAAGATCATAATAAATATATTAATGAACAACAAATTTGAAAAATACAACATAAGTTGTGGAATTAATTTCCTGAGGAAGTGGCAGATATAAGCACAATTACAATATTTAAAAGACATTTGGATAAGTACTGAAATAGGAAAGGTTTGGAGGGATATTTTGTGCTGTATGTCTCTACAACTCGAAGTGGTGGCGTCAAATATTACACAATTAGAGGTTATGTTAACTAACATCCCCTAAATTGATCTTTTTTGAATAACCGATACCTTTTCCACTCTGTACGCGCAGACTGTAAACGATTAATCACTGATTTTAGTGATTCATTGGTGATGCACTGGATTTTCTAAAATATGTTTGATAAAGTAGCACACAAGTGTGCGAGCAAAATTGAAGCCTGTGGAATGAAATGGGCAGTGGCGGTATAGACATAAAATTGGGGAAGAACGAGAATACAGAATCATGAAGAACAGTCATTTGCTCAGACTAACGAACGTGGGAAACTGTTCACTGGCCCTTCTGACACTATGTACCAAGGACAAAATCTAAGGTCATTGGTGAGGAAAAAAGGCAAAAAAAAAATGGAGAATTCTGCTTTTTCCAAACTGCAATATCTGAATGTGTGGATAAAGCAGATTAAATTACTTTCATAAGAGGACTGAATAATTACACGAGGCAAAATTTGCAGGGCAGTGGTAAAAAGGGCAATGGGGACGGACAAGTTAGATACTTCTTACTGAGATTTAGCACAGACACAATAAGCCTAAGTCTTTTTTGCTTTGTAATAACATTCCATGATTCTTTGGCTGGCCTCGAACGACTGTGTTTGTTGGCAA